AAAAAAAAATTAATGCCACTTTCATCGGAAAGTGAAGATAGTGCAGAGGGTAGCCCAGCTGTTATGAAAAAAGATAAAAACAACAGTGATGAAGACAGTAGTGATGAAGAATTGATGCAAAACAAAAACAAAGATAATATAATTAAGTCTACCGTAAAACCCGGTCGTAAAAATAAAGGTGACCTTAAAAATGCCAAGACGAAGTCACTATCTTCAGATGACAGCGACGAAGAAGATTTTAAAGAAAATCAACAAAAAAGGTCATCGCAGCCACAATCTGCGTATAATTATCAAAAAAATACTGTTGAAGAGACAGTAAGTCGTGGATGGCAAAAAGGAAAAAAAAAAGTTTTACCACAGGAAAGCGAGAGTGAATCGACCGATAATTATGAAAGCGATAAAGGGGATAAAATGGAGTCGGAGGATGAACGCGACGTAATAGCTCCTATCAAAAAGAAATATCAGAAGAACAGTAAAGATATTACGGAAATTTCTAAAAAGGATTCGACCGGGTTGAACTTAAACTTTAATGCTTTAACTATTGATCCATCAGAGGGTCCTATATCAAAAGATCATCAATTTGTTGCTAAAAAAGAAGCTAAGATGCAAGAATCTACTACATCCGAGGAAGAAATATCAGAAGACGACGTTGCGAACAGGACACGCAAAGTATTCAAGCCAACAAAACAAAAAGACAAACAGAAAAAGGTTTCCAATGTTGCATCAAGTGACGCTAGCAGTAGTGAGGAATCAAATCCCGAGAATTCTGAGGAGGAACCCCTTGCAGTACTCGTGGAAGAAGTAGGAAACAACCCAAATTATGCAAGACCCAACTTTAACGCTCGCCCTAGATCGGTTTCACCGAATTTTCAACAAGGACAACGATGGATTCCTACACCAGGCCAGGGAGGTTACTACACGGAAAATCCGGGATATTCGATAGACAACCGAAGGAGTATGATGCAAACGCCGTATCGTGGTGGGGAATATTATGATGATGACCATCTTAGTGTATCAAGTTTTGGTGGTCGTTCTAGATCAGCTATGGGCCTTGCACCTATGCCTCCAAATAGAAGACGTATTAGTGGAGGAAATATAGATTATACACGAGAATCTTTATACATGGATGATGGGTACTATGATGATCGAGGAAATCTATTTCCCACACCTAATCATTATCGTCCCAACAGTCTTTTGGATTCATTACCACAATACCAGCCTTCCGCCCGTGAGCAAGAATTTATAGCCCGTGAAACAGGAGCGCCATTAATTAATCTACCCGAGAAGCAAAAAGATCCACAAACGGGCTTGGTAGGTGCTATCACAGCAAGAGAACATCAAAGGAGGGTCATGGGGCCAAATATTATGGCCAGAAATGCTGAGTTAGAACGCGAAAGGGCTTTCGAGAGAGAAAGGGACCGTAGATTGGTGGAACAAAGGCAGCAGATTATGATGGTTGAAAGGGAATCTACGTATTCACGACAATCTTTTGTTCCACCTCCAGGACCAAATAGGTATTATAGTCAGCAATTTTTAGATCCGACGATCGGACAGAGGGGATCGTACTATGATTACGGGTATCATGGTCCTGCAGATGATGAGGATGAGGATGATGATATTCCTTTAGGTGTAGGTGGATCTGTCTCTTCTGTTCAGCCTAAATTACCGCGTAATGTACGAGGCAGACGTAGAGACACTGAATGAATTGTGCAATCAAAATCATAATATATGTATTTTACGGTTTAACAACAAAAAAAAAAAAAAAAAAAAAAAAAATCTTTCTGGTTATACTTATCTATTTATCTTTATAGATCATTAAATTGTACAGGAACATAGGTTAAACGTATCAGCTTATAAATGATGTCTTAAATGACCAAAACTTTGATCATTCATAATTAAAAAAAAAAAGACATTTTTTCGTTATTGATATGTATCACATATTTTATGTATGATATTTGAACCATCCCTAAAATATCTGTTGAATTCTTCTTTTCATTTGAAACAATTTCAATTCAAAAAATGGTCGAGGTAATTAGAGTTTCATTATAGAAATAATTTCAGTCATAAAGAAATGAAGTTTTAAAGGTTTAAATGTTTACTTCTCTTTCTTTCTCAAGTATGAAGCACATTTCAATGCACGTGTATATACATTCGTTTGGATATTAAATATGAAGGTGAATTGGAACTCAATAAATTATTTTACAATCTTTTTAAAGAATTATAAGACATGAAAGATAAAAAGGAAATAATGCGAAATTATCAAAATGGTATGATTAATTCTGTTCAAGATAAAAAAAGAAAATATGTATAAGTATATAAAGTTCTAATGCACTTTATATCGTGGTAATAGCTTGAATGATTCAATTATGATGTATCGCATAAAATGTTAAGTATTAGGATCAATCAACTAGAAATAAAAAGATCTCATGCCTTTAACCGCTTGCAAACTTTCTTTTTTCTAAATATTTGTCCGGAACATAACTATTGTGAGACACCAATCATTCAAAGTTCATGATCATCTCTCATTTATCGACGACACGTATTACAAAGAATTGGATAGCGGAAAATAGATTCAATAACGAGAAGAAATTCTTGACGAGAAAACTAACATGAAAAATGCAGAAGGTTAAATTCATCAATTGGTATTAATAGACAACGTTCCCGAAAGACAAACTATATAATTATTTACCTAGTCACCATTTATATTCTTTTCGACAAACAACTGCTTGTATTTTTCATTTTCTTTAGTTAATTCCGCAATTCTTGCTTCCAAATTAATGATTCTTTCTTTCATCTCTTC